CATACATGTATTCGTTTTTAACAAGTGAAAAAAAAATTCGTATTGAACGGAAAAACCATGAGATGTTCTATTTCTTACATTCTCTCACGTCACACCACGTCAGTATTGCTACGTCAGAAAAGTGGGGGTAGGTGTTGCGTATTTTTTGAAGCCAAGTTCTTATGACGTCACGCTTGACAACAATACAGAGCGCCATTTTAAATCGTTTTTTACTGCAACATTGCCGTATGCTGCTATTATCTGGTAATATTTCCAGTCAAAAATTATATTGATTTTGTAGTTATGTACAAACAATAATGTATGCTGCATAAATGGAACACACAACCACCTATTCTGCCGTCGCTTCATCTAATCTTGAAACTGAAAATATGCGCAGAGAATATAATGTACCGTTCAGATTGGACCATACTAAGAGTGACGTCTTCACATGTGAATATATGATATTTCGTATTATGATATCTTTTGTCAACCTCTCTCTCTCTCTCTCTCTCTCTCTCTCTCTCTCTCTCTCTCTCTCTCTCTCTCTCTCTCTCTCTCTCTCTCTCTCTCTCTCTCTCTCTCTCTCTCTCTCTCTCTCTCTCTCTCTCTCTCTCTCTCTCTCTCTCTCTCTCTCTCTCTCTCTCTCTCTCTCTCTCTCTCTCTCTCTCTCTCTCTCTCTCTCTCTCTCTCTCTCTCTCTCTCTCTCTTAGAGTCTATATCATATTTGAGGCTTTATAATCTTCAAATAGAGTTGGTACATAAACCACCATATTACATGTAACTTGTTAATAGAGTTGTAGGGGGCTCCTTTTTAAGTACGCATGTATCCTAAGAGGAAATAAGTACAGTCAATTGTTTGTCAGGAACCCATTACTGATACAGATCTGTTAGTTTTAGTAATACAAACTAATTGTACCATGTAAACGTAAAGTGGTGCGTATTGAACGATACTTTATATTTGTCAACATTGATTATGGCGACGACCCATCTGATGAGCTTTATAAGCAGGTTAAGCATGAATGGATATGTATTATGAATATTAATGGTGTTTTTGAGAGTGCTTGAAGGTCAGCGTACTTCGTCTATATACAGTGTATATAGACTGTCTTTATACTGCGTCATCATACTTTCACAACCTGTTGTATAATTATAGTACTAGTGTTATTTAACATCAGTGCTATACTCGTGCTCACCAAATTGACCAGTGGCCTTTCCGTACTATAGCTTGTACATTGTACACAAAATATGCAAATTCAGTTATCAAAAGCACCTATATATTCAAATGAATATTTTTTCAGCTGTTTACAAATCAATTTTGTGCATACTGTAAATTGCATTAATTTATTCAACTCTTACTTTTTCAATAATTAAGTATCGAAGACAATTTACAAGTCACAAATGATAATAAAATCGAAACGCTATGTATTAGGGATGCTGACTTGCATCCGTACTAATTGCGAAAGAAATTCATGTCATAACATATTATGTTTCATGATATACTCATGTGTCGCAATGTGCGTATATTTAGTCGTGGTCGTTGCGGTTGACGTAACGTTTCACGCTTCTGTGAGTACTGAGGATATATTCTATGTTGTCTGATACGTAGACACAATTATGCTGTACTGACTCTGTATTATAACAGGAACACATCAAGGTTAAGTTCTGTATTACCTTGGGTCTTTTGACCCTTCGGTTTCAAAAGTGAGACATATTTACAATATTTACAGACAATACAATACAATACAATATTTACAGACAATACAATACAATACAATATATGCAATATATACAATACAATACAATACAATGCAATACAATACAATAATACAATACCAGCAATGTACAAACAGTATGGAGAGTGTAACAAATTAAGTTAATTTGTTTCTTTTTACATTTGCCGCTTTTATATATATGGCCAAATTGACGAGTTCTTTTGTGTTATATCTATATACATTGAATAATTTTATAATTCTACACATCCTTGGGTTTTTTACATAGCAATTTTCCAAATGGAGAGCTCAAAATATTTCACTAGTAAACTGTAATAAATACCGATTCCGTAGCGTTTACCATCATATTTTTGTATACAGTATGCGAACTCAATTTCCAAGAAGGCTTTCATGCTTGGGGAAGCACCGGAAGTGGACAAAGAGTTTACAGATCAAACCCCCGGCGGTGCTTGGCGCGCTAGGGGGTTTGAAAAATAGTGAATAAATAGTTATGTATTGCTCTGCATTGCAACTACATGTACATAACACTACCGAAGCCAGTTCCGTGCTATGAGACCATAACACAGGCGTAGTTATATTTCCACGGTACAGACTAACTAGCTGATAGCTATTCCCCTCCGCACTAGCAAGCCGATAAGCAAAAAACCTCAATATGATTCAATAATAGTTTGTAAGACTATTAGAAAATATGAATTGAATATATTGATTGATCAAATTATGTAAATAGGAACGATATTCGTGTGATTATTTCCATGAACTATATTTGTTTACGGGAAAAGTCACGAGACAACATTCAGTGAGCAATCCCATGGGATGTTCTACCTCTTGAACAAACACCGCAAAATTCGAATTTAAAAGTGCGTTGTGAACTTAGAAATGAAAATTAGAAAAAATATGTAAATGTAAGCATAAAACTGTACATTGTATAACACGAAACAGGATTGCAGATAAATAAGCATAATGCGTAAAGCGCGTTATTCGTTTTGCCTGTAATACTGTTCCTTGTTATAGGACCATAACACGGAACAGAATGGTGTTTAATGCTTAAATAGATGTTTGCTATCGAGTGAAGGTCGGTTATCATCAAACTCGAGTTTCTCTGTAGACCGAGTGTCTTTATTCAATTTGAAAATTAGCTAAACGGAGTAAAATAAACATTTCAAACAAACAATCACTTTTCCAATTCGATTGTTTTAGTGTTTTCGCATTTGATGTTTTAATTAAATGGAAAGGCTTCAACCTACACAACGAAAAGTTACTTATTGATCGTGACCAAATTTCCAGAATAGAATTTCAGTTTCTAAATATGTTCAGTGTCGGTGCCTTAGCCATGTTCATTTTGACTTAGCGGTGTTCATGGTGTCTGATAAATGTCAACTATATTGTTAATCTTAGGAGCGTGCGCTTTGTCTTACACTTGGTAATAGTGTCTTAGATATGTCAAGAATGTCCACCCAGTGGTGCAGGGCGAATGATGGGAGACGGTCAGATTGTGATTCGTTATTGTTGTTTTGGTTCAAGATGTCTATGGTTTTCCTGTCTACTGGGCACCGTTTCTCATGTGTGTTTTGATGAGTTCATTTGTATCACATGCATTTGTATCTAAGATACATGTAATGCAACAGATATTGTGTTTAATGCTAATGATTAAAATTCATGAGGTTTTTAATACCTTCGAACACCACAAAGACAAACAAACTGGTTTTTTAACTCTAAAATACCCTTCCTGGTATTATAATTTAAGCATCCGAGCTAGTTACCCTGGAGCCAGTATCATTCACTATATCTTTGACTAGGGACCCTGAAGCCAGTATCATTCACTGTATCTTTGACTAGTGACCCTGGAGCCAGTATCAGTCACTGTATCTTTGACTAGTGACCCTGGAGCCAGGATCAGTCACTGTATATGTGACTAGTGATCCTGGAGCCAGTATCAGTCACTGTATGTGTGACTAGTAACCCCGGAGTCAGTATCACACACTGTATATGTGACTAGTAACCCCGGAGTCCGTATCATACACTGTATATGTGACTAGAAACCCCGGAGTCCGCATCATACACTGTATATGTGACTAGTAACCCCGTAGTCCGTATCACACACTGTATATGTGACTAGAAACCCCGGAGTCCGTATCATACACTGTATATGTGACTAGTAACCCCTGAGTCCGTATCACACACTGTATATGTTACTAATTTTCCTGAGCCAGTTATACATGTAAAAAATGGGCAGGTATTGTATCGTTTAATTAGTCTTCGATTTTTTACCATGGAGCCAGAAATTATTCATGATATATATATGCTATATTTGATAATTCTATAACGAAAAAACTGGTAATGTTTATTTTTACCTAATCAATATATAAAACGCATGTGATGCGAGAGTAACCTACTGATTGAATTAACTTAGACATAAATCGTTTAAGTATCTATAAGCATTAGGCTTCAGTTGACCGACGCCTGTTTAACCTAAAATTGACAATATGCCAGCTTACTGTTTTAAAATTGAATCTTCGCTTTTTGATTTTATTTGTTATACATGTAGTGTGATTGAATGCGTCAACATATTGCAACTAGGACACAGGAGATCGGATTTTAACTGGGTTGTATCTTCTCTAAAACACGACGCTTCTATACGAGAGAAAGGAATTGACAGATCCTATGATTTCTGTGGCAATTATACTAAGGGAACAAAAACAGAACATCACACTTTATGCGCTCCCATTTGCCACCTTATAAATTCATATATAATCATTCAATGAGAAACAACATACTGGTTCAACTACCCCATGACACAGGGACTAATTTTAGAAGATTTTAAGTTCACACGATCCTATTGGATCGAAATATGAATATTTATGTTCGATTTTTAAAATTTCTTTGAAAAACAAATGTGTCGTAACATTTAAGCCAAAAAAAAAAAAGGTTTGTTTGGCGTTCATAAATAAAACCGGCGGAGAGCTTGGATACCTCGTACCTGACATTTCCATCAGGATGTGAAAATGTGAAATAAACGGTATTTTAAACTTTAAAAAATAGAGAGAATAAGAGAAAAGACAGGAAGAAAGAAACAGTCTTAAAACATTTAGTTAGAACTTGCAATGCACTGTATCATTTACTAGTACTTTAACCGGTACCATTACTGATCAACACTGTTAAAAGCGTAAATTGTCAAGGGCAACGACAGCTCAGCCAACCACCGAACTCTAACTACGATTTATCGATCTTACCCTGACTGAAGCAGGTGATGCCTACCCAGGTACAGCCCATAGTGCCTGGTCGCTCGTCGCTATTATAACGCGCACGAGTATACATTCTCCAACAAGCATGTCTAGCTTATGGATATTAGCAATATGCCTTCTTCAATGGCATTGTAAGTATACCAGTATTTGGTTTTATTTATTTTAAAATGTTAAGTTTAACCAACGTTGTTTAATTGAAACAACGCACAATAGCTACATGTATGTTTTTATGTCTTTTTAGATTAGGTTTTGATTGATGTTATTCTGCACCCAAATATAAAGTCTCATTTAAGATATATAGGCTATATTTCATACACATATCCCAGCTCTAGGTACCGCGAAAAATGTGGGCGAATATATTATATGTAAGGTACGAATCATATAAAAAAAATGCTGAAATGTTTCCTCGCAGTAATAACACTGATGATGTATTTAAATGTAGCCTGATTGTTGGGAATTGTCTGCACAAAAAAGGGGGAATTCGGATAGGATCTTCCCGAAAATGATATTCCAATATTATATAATAGATTATATAGCATACCAATATGTAAATATGTAAGTGTGTGATTGAAAAAATAACGAACATAAAGTTTAATTTCTCCATGTCTTGTTTCCTTTCGTTTAGACTGATTTTAACAATATATGACGAACAAAATAATGCATGTGTAGATGGCTCGGGCAGGTAGGCATTTACTGTGTACACTCGCACAAACCTAACGTTGGCTGGTTGTGCGGTCATAGAGCATAGTACGTTGATAATTATAATTATTTAATGGAAAGTGAATACATTTCATAACATGCAGATGTGAACATTTTGTGTTTCTATATTAACTTATTATTTTCCAGATTGTGCGACAGCAACCAATTGTTCTGGTTGGAAAAGAATTCTGTCGGCATCGGATCGAGCGTTTCACTCTCCCAACGTGACAACAACCTGTTCTGACGTGAACAAGTGTGTGATAGCGTGTCACAGGACGGGGTTTTCGGAGTCTCTGACCTTCCACATCGAAACCAACACTTGTATGTGTTATGACGTGGACAGGTCAAATGATACTTTATACACCTTCGTACCACAGCTAGGAACTTTATTCTATAGTAAAAACAGCAAAACGGAATCTCAGAACTCGGTCATCGCCGTCACATACAACTCCGTTACAAAAACACGTACGTACTATAACTTGTGATATATGGTGATAATATAACTGTTTTTATCTTGTTTTGTGCAATATACCTCTATGTCATTGACCCTTAGTTGAAACTAATAATACTGGTGTATTATATTATATATGTCCCTTGCAGTTAAAAGGACTTGGTAAAATAACTACTGTATTCCATTGGCGACTGTTACAAATCGAATCAGAGATTGTATTGTTGTTCTCTTCTTATGGACTCAATAGACCACACATTATCTGCTGCCCGAAATGCAACAAATCTCTATGTTTTATTCTGTCTGATTTACTCTTTCATTTAAGTGTTACTGGACATATTTGATTAAGGAGGCAGTAACCAAATCGGATCAATACCCAAAATCGGATCACTTTTTGCATAAATACTTGTAAATCAATAAATATGTCAGCAAATCAGTTATAACAATGATGTAGCCTTAGAATAGATAGCAATGCACCATTTTTTGTTTACAGATGATAAGTTTTTAATTTCAAACAGCACAAAAAAACGTAATTCAAACTCAAATATCAGTGTTTTGATTACGTTTTTAAAAAAATGGCGCGTGCGACGACTATGATTTCAGTTTTGGACTAGAGGAATACATTCACACTATAGAAATACTTTTTTTGTCATATAAATTCTTAAGGTCTTCATAAAATGTTAATTTGCTGACTAAAAAATATTCATTTGAAGCGTAAGATATTGCAAAAAGCAAGCCTTGATCCGATTTGGGTCCCGACATTCGCAAAAACCGGAGACGCTGATTGGTGACTTCAGAGCGTTCTATAAATATCTCAAGTGAGCCCCGGGTGCTAATTTCGTTTGTAAGAACACCCATCGATATTCTTCCTTTGATACAACCATACATGGATATCATTCCTCCTCAGATTTTCCAATGATTTAATAAAATGATGGTTTGGTGATCCGATTTGGGTACTGTGACCTTAGCATTTATGGTCCCCCGAGGTGATAAACTATTTCCCGAGGCGGCGAAGCAGGGAAATAGTTTTTCGCCAAAGGTGACCATAAATTTGCTATTTCCCGAATTATCCATTCTATAACCGTTTCATTATAACAAAACAAATTATTAAAGGCAATTTAACATATGAATTTATCTATTTCCTTTTACAATTTCAAAGAGAAAAAAATACAATTGGAAGTACTGCATGCATCGTCGTTGCATACCGGTCTCGAGTTCAAATCAAATTTCATGATCTAATCGCCAGTATAGCCACTCAAAACAACGCACTATCCCCTAAATCGAATTCTACCGTAAATGAAATGCAACATCTTATACAGATGGATATGTTGTGTGTACACTACGAGTTTGAGGTATGTGTTTTGTTCTGTTGTGTTAACCTGGTACATGTAGTAACACGGATATGGCGCGTGCTGGGTAGATATGGCACGCGATGGGCGGATATGGGTTGATCTGGGATATGGCCTATGCATACATGTAGCTAGCAGTATCGATATCACAAATGCAAAACAGCTCGTATCACGGACTAGTATATATATGATAAAGGTCTTTACCAGCTTGGCACATTGACCTATATGACAGGGCACTGTAGTAGAGAACGCAATAGGACAGTAAATTCCCCAAAGGTTTCAATACATCTCCTTTTGATCCTGTGCATGGCGCTCTCATTTATTGGTTGGCAACGTTCTAAATTGGTGAGCAGACTTGACGGGTCTGACTGATATGTAAAGTCTATGAGTTTTCAAACATCACTTTCTCCCCTCGATTTGAAAAAGAACCTTTAAGCTACATCTGCACATACCTGTGTATGGTCTAAAATGTCGATATGATATTATCCTTTACAGTGTTAGCAATTTTACAGACGTCACGTGCTTGTTTTAGAGCTTGTTATGTTGTGTCTATTTTGGGATGAGTATATATAATTCCTATAAAATATATATTACCAGTGTAAGAGAGAAAGAAAAAAATATGTAATATATATAAAACTTATATAAGCAAAATATTACTCGGAGACACATTGACATGGAGACCCCTGAAATTGTACAAAGATAATTCGACAATTTTTATTAAGAGTAATCATTTTTTAATCTAGGTCAAATCTTAGAAATGTCACACTCTCATAATGTGACGTCTTCATCCACCAGTATCTGTCGACATCCCTTTTGCAGGCAGTATTAGACACATATCTTTTTGTTTATCATGGGGGAGGAGGGATTTAAATTATTTATTTTTCTTAAAAATCGGTTTAAATGGTAAAAATAGATTGTCCCTTTTAATTTGGGTATCACTATGAGACGGAAAGACAACTTCGATATGGATTGGTAGGTTGCATTGGTAAGTATTGATTATGAAGAGTTCGTTTTACACAAGCAATAAAATTGGTAACATTTTACACCTTTGTGTGCATACGCTTCACTGGTCATTTGTCTGATGAAGGTGACCGTGTACATATCGTACTAGTCATCGAAACGTCACATAGACAATTTCATTTGCTGTGTAAAAAGAACTTTTCATTGTCAATAACTGGGAAAATATTCAAAAGTGACATGTCTAGGGTCGGTATCCATGTCTGCTTCTGTATGTGTAAAAGGTTAACGTAAGGGTTTGTTCAGTGCTTCTGTATGTGTAAAAGGTTAACCTAAGGGTTTGTTCAGTGCTTCTGTATGTGTAAAGGGTTAACGTAAGTGTTTGTTCAGTGCTTCTGTATGTGTAAAGGGTTAACGTTAGGGCTTGTTCAGTGTTTCTGTATGTGTAAAGGGTTAACATAAGGGTTTGTTCAGTGTTTCTGTATGTGTAAAGGGTTAACGTTAGGGCTTGTTCAGTGTTTCTGTATGTGTAAAGGGTTAACATAAGGGTTTGTTCAGTGCTTCTGCATGTGTAAAAGGTTAACGTTAGTGTTTATTCAGTGCGTCTGTATGTGTAAAAGGTTAACGTTAGGGTTTGTTCTTTGCTTCTGTATGTGTAAAGGGTTAACGTAAGGGTTTGTTCAGTGCTTCTGTATGTGTAAAAGGTTAACTTAAGGGTTTGTTCAGTGCTTCTGTATGTGTAAAGGGTTAACGTAAGTTTTTTTTAGTGTTTCTGTACGTGTAAAGGGTTAACGTAAGGGTTTGTTCAGTGCTTCGGTATGTGTAAAGGGTTAACGTAAGGGTTTGTTCAGTGCTTTTGTGTGTGTAAAGGGTTAACGTAAGTGTTTGTTCAGTGCTTCTGTGTGTGTAAAGGGCTAACGAAAGGGTTTCTTTAGTTGTTCTGTAGGTGTGAATTGTTAACGTAAGGGTTTGTTCAGTGCTTCGGTATGTGTAAAGGGTTAACGTAAGGGTTTGTTCAGTGCTTCTGTATGTGTGAAAGGTTAACGTAAGGGTTTGTTCAGTGCTTCTGTATGTGTAAAGGGTTAACGTAAGGGTTTGTTCAGTGTTTCTGTATGTGTAAAAGGTTAACGTAAGGGTTTGTTCAGTGCTTCTGTATGTGTAAAGGGTTAACATAAGGGTTTGTTCAGTGCTTCTGTATGTGTAAGTTGTTAACGAAAGGGTTTGTTCAGTGCTTCTGTATGTGTAAAGGTTGAACGTAAGGGTTTTTTCAGTGCTTCTGTATGTGTAAAAGGTTAACGTAAGGGTTTGTTCAGTGCTTCTGTATGTGTAAAGGGTTGACGTAAGGGTTTGTTCAGTGTTTTTGTGTGTGTAAAGGGTTAACGCAAGTGTTTGTTCAGTGCTTTTGTGTGTGTAAAGGGTTAACGAAAGGGTTTGTTCAGTGCTTCTGTAGGTGTGAATTGTTAACGTAAGGGTTTGTTCAGTGCTTCTGAGTGTGTAAAAAGTTAACGTAAGGGTTTTTTCAGTGCTTTCGTGTGTGTAAAGTGTTAACGTAAAGGTTTGTTCAGTGTGGTACAGTGCTTCTGTATGAGTAAAGGGTTAAGGTACAGTGTTTCTGTATGTCTAAAGGGTTAATGTAAGGGTTTGTTCAGTGCTTCTGTATGTGTAAAGGGTTAACGTAAGGGTTTGTTCAGTGCTTCTGAGTGTGTAAAAAGTTAACGTAAGGGTTTTTTCAGTGCTTTCGTGTGTGTAAAGTGTTAACGTAAAGGTTTGTTCAGTGCTTCTGTATGTGTAAAAGGTTAACGTAAGGGTTGGTACAGTGCTTCTGTATGAGTAAAGGGTTAAGGTAAGGGTTTGGTTAACGTAAGGGTTCGTTCAGTGTTTCTGTATGTGTGTTTCTGTATGTGTAAAGGGTTAATGTAAGGGTTTGGTTAACGTAAGGGTTTGTTCAGTGCTTCTGTATGTGTAAAGAGTTCACGTAAGAGTTTGGTTAACGTAAGGGTTTGTTCAGTGTTTCTGTATGTGTAACAGGTTAACGTAAGGGTTTGTTCAATGCTTCTGTATGTGTAAAGGGTTAATGTAAGGGTTTGGTTAACGTAAG